GACGTAAAAATATTTTAAAAGTTCAATAAAATTCTGACATGAAAGAAGCGATATTGCAAAATTAAGGCACAATTATTTATGCAACAATAAAAAGTAAAATGTTGTTGGTTGTAATATTTTTAGTTCGTTTCGCCTTTTTTGGAATTGTGTATTTTTTATTCATTTATTTATTAAATAAGGAAACATTTAATTTTTGATTAAATTCAATATTTAAATAAATATTTACAGATAAATAAATTGCAAATTATTTTGTAATTATTTTATTTTTTATTATTTATATAATTTTATTATTTTACTCATTTTTTTATTTTCTTATTTTCATATTTTTTTTATTTTCTTATTTTTTTCATTTTCATCTTTCTTAAATTGGTTTTTCTACACAAAAAATATAAATTAGATTTATTTATTATACCTATTATTATAATAAATAAATGAATTATCAAATAATTTTTTGAATTTTTAAAATCTTTGAAACTCAAATTGTTTTTTTTTATGTAAAATGAAAACGCTTCTTTCAAGTTCAATTTTATTGTTAAATTTTTCATTAATAATTAATGATTAAAAAAAATAGGTTTCATTTTGTTTTTGGACTTTTTTTCTTTAATTCGCGCACAACACATTGAAAAAATCACAAATTAGAAGTTTTGTACTATGTGGAAGACGGATGTCCGTGAATGTGTTTTCAATTTGTTTGCAATAATTTTTAAATTGTTTTGATGAAAAAACGTGATAACAGGATATTCTCTAAGTATAAAACGAGAAAAAATATTTCATTGATTTTTGTAAAAAAAAGAACTAGAAGAAAGTATAGAATTTTTTATTACTTTTGTGCCAATAAAATTTTTTTCTCCAATTTTCTATCGCAGTCAATTTTTATTATTCTCTTTAAAAATTCAGTGTATGCTATCGTTCACTCAAGATTTTTTTCTCTTTTCTTTCTTTTTTTTTGTTTTTTTTTGTTTTATCCACTATACAACATTCTAGCAACTAATTTCCATAAAAAATCGTGTCGAAACTATTCTGTTCAACTAACTCGGTTGTAAAGTTGTACTCAAGTTTTAATATAAACCCGCAATATCGAACTAAGTGGCTACGTTGATCCCAAAATTGTAAAAATTTTTTTTGTATATTTTTTTATTTTTGGTAAATACGTTATAAAAAGTCTTCTTGTAATTTTTATTATGTCCAGGTAGAAATAATGAATATTGTTTACAGAATGAAAATTTTTTAATTTTAATGTGTAAATGGTATTAAAATTTTTACCTGGATAATAAAGACAAAATCTAGGCCCCCTAAAATGTCTTTTAAAAAGACATTGTGCGTGTTTAGTGATAAAAAAAAATTAAATTGTTTTTTTTTTGTTTAGTCAAAATACTCTACTTTTTCTAAATCTAAAAACAACTGGAGACCCTGTTTTTAAATTTTTTTTCTTTTATTCGCGGAAGTGGAGGTAATAAACTGTGTTTCTATTTTGGGTTACGAAGCATCACTATTCAGTTACTTTGTAATGTTATTAATACAGCTGATGATTGGATTATTTTTTTTATATAAAAAGAATGTGGTCCACTTGTTATTTATTTATTTTTTTAAAACTAAATTATTTTTATTTTTCACTAGGGTTGTATCTCTACCTAAAATCAATCATTTTCGCCCCTTTTCCATTTATTTTAAAGAAAAATTTCTAAAAAATTGTCATTTTTTGTAAATTGGAAAATTTTTAGTTATTTTTTATATTAATTTTTTTTATAAAAATTATTCAAATTTATCTAATTTTTTATAATAAAATTGCCTTTAAAAATGGTATAAGTTAAAACAAATATTTAAAATAAATTGCATTCCTGGTACTAAAAGAAATTTTATAGAAAATATTTAATGCTACAAAAAATTTCTAAAATTATTGTAATATTTAATTTAATATTAAAATTAATTCATAAATTACAATTAGATTATTAAGTATTATTATTAATATTATTATTATTAATATGTAATTAGTAATTAATTATTGTAAGTTTTAAATAGAATGAAAAATTAGTTTTATCTAACAAAAATTTTAAATTTTTATCCAATTTTAAATTTTTACTTAATTATTTTATAATTTTTTCTTACAATTAAAATTTTTTTTCTCTTGGTAATTTTTACTAAGTCTTACAAATTATACTTTTAATGGAAAAATTTAATTAAATATTAAATTTAATTCATAAATTAAAATTAATCATTCATATAGAAGAGTAATTAATTATTTCATTAAATTGAAATTCGTATAAATAAAAAATTGTTCCCATAATACCTGAGATATCTTTTATTTTAGATTCTCTATTACACTGTATATTTAAAAAAAAAATTAAAAGTGCTCTATCGAGTGTCTTAAAGATGATATTAAAGCCAATTTTCATTATTATTTTTGATATAATTGTATTAAAAATATAAAAATAGAATCTAAGGGAAGTATTGTGAATAAATTCTAATATTTTTTCTTAAAATATCACATTTAATTTATCGACTCATCTATTTTTATTGTAGAAAATACTGCAGAGTTTTTTAATGTTTTATTTCACATTTTTTTGTTTCGGCTAAGTAAAACATGTATAGAAATTATTTATCCGAGTCTTTTTGTTTTAAAAATAAATTCAAAAAATTGTTCCATTTAAGTTTTATTTTGAAATAAAAATTTAAACTCAAGTTTTTTATTCTTTACTTTGATTCGAAACCCTTTTTTTCAAATTTGACAATTTTATTGTCAAATTTTGTTGTTTACTTTGATTTCAAATAGGAAGTATTTTTGCAATTTTTTAAGAAGATAAATTATTCGTTTATTAGAGGGAGAATTTTTCTTTTTAACATGTAAGATTATTTTCTTTTTAAATATTCCATATCGCCAGCTGTATTCGATAACATTTTAAAATCTAAGCAACAACTCGGATAAAGGAGACGTTAAAACATCACGTATCCAATAAAAAATTGGATTTTTTTTCTTTTTGGTTTCTATCTGAATAATCAGGTAAAGCAATTTCGGATCATAATGTGACCCACAGAAAAAAATTAAAGTGTAATTTTTGCAGACATTTTTTTTCGCAAATATTACACTAATAATTATTTTCAGGTGGACGTACACAAAGAAACTTTTTTAAAAACATATTTTTCACGATCATTTTCAAGAATATATCGATACTTCCAAACTATGAAAAAAAATCTCTTTCACATTGCTTCTCTAAAAGAACAGAACTGTATTTTTTCTCCTAACTTCGCTATATTTTTTTTATACATTTTTATTCGCAAATGTTTTATATTTCGAAAGAAAAAAATGGGGACGCATGAATAGGCTTGAATTCCGTAAAAGTCAGTTTTTTTTAAAAAAAGGTTCGTGAAGTTCGTAATTTGATCGAGAAAAGTCGAAAAGTTTGTAAACTGTACGATATAATTTGGAGAATTTTAGAGAAATTACAAATAATGATTGCAGAAATTCAATTATTTTCAAAAGTAATAAAAATTTCTAGGTAATTCAATTATTTACAAATTTTTTAAAAATTTCTTCGCAATAATTCAATTACGTTCAAAAAATTTAAAAAATGCTCGTAAAAAAGGCAATTATTTTCAAAAGTAATAAAATTCGTATCAGAAATTCAATTATTTTCGAAAATTTGAATAAAAATCCTTAGCAAATTTTAATTCTTTTAATAAATAAAAAAATTCTTGTCAAAATTTCAATTATTTTAAAAACATTTCTTCAATTCAATGATTTTCAATATCTACTATTTTAATAAAATTTCCAAAAAGAATTCAATTATTTAAAAAAAAAAATTGATAAAACTCTACGCAAACATTCAATTATTTTTATTAATAATAATAATTTCACAGAAAATTCAATTATTAAAAGAAAAATTTGCTAACATTTTTACGAAAAAATCAATTATTGGCAGGAATTTTTATAAAATTCTTTGCAAAATTCAATTTTTCATGAAATTGTATAATTTTTAAAAAATTTTAATAAAATTCTTGGCAAATTTCAATTATCTTAATAAATAATAAAATTCTTCTCCAAAATTCAGTTATTTTCAAAACATTTCTTCAATTCAATGATTTTAAATATCTACTATTTTATAAAAATTTTCCAAAAGAATTCAATTATTTAAAAAAAAATTGATAAAACTACGCAAACATTTAATTATTTTCAATAATAATAAAAATTTTACAGAAAATTCAATTATTTAAAAAAAAATTTGCTAACATTTTTTCAAAAAAATCAATTATTTTCAGGAATTTTTATAAAATTCAATTATTTAAAGAAAAATTTGCATCCATTTCTTCGAAAAAATCAATTATTGAATAAACTTTTAGAAAATTCTTTTTAAGATAAGTATAAAAATTCTTTTCAGGGAAGCAATTATTTTCTTAAATATTAAAAATTTTTCACACGAATTTAATTATTTACATATTTTTTTATAAATTTCTTTGCAATCATTTAATTATTTTCATAAATAATAAAAAAAATTTTCCAAAATTTCAATTATTTTCGCAAATATTAAATTTTTTTTAGGAATTCAATTATTTTCATAAATAACAAAATTCTTTACAGGAATTCAATAATTTTGAATAAAATTTGAATAAAATTTCTCAAAAGAATTCAATTATTTCCATTAATAATAAAATTCTTTGCAGAAATTCAATTATTTTCATAAATAATAACATTCTTTCTATAAATTCAATTACTTTTATAAATAATAAAATTCTTCGCAAAAATTCAATTATTTTCATAAAATAATAAAATTTATTGATAAAATTCTATGTGAATTCAATTTTAAGAAACATGCAATTCTACAAAAACTATTATCTATGTTTGTATTTAAATAATTGAATTTTGTAGAATTTTCAAATAAAACATGAAGAAATTTATCACTCGGAGTTGAAGACTCGGAGTTATCCATATCTTCATGTTTTATAGTTATGAAAAATTTAATTTATAGTTTTAAGTAAAATGTTCTTTTATTTTACTCGAACTCGTTATATTTTTGTCAGTAATTGGTCCGTGATTTTTCATTTTTGGTCCGTAAAGTCCGTATTTTTAAATACTTTCACTGGTTCGACCCCTGACTTTCAAGAAAACTGTGCGATAAATAATGAAAAATCGTGGAAAATTTTTGACTCTTTCATGCGTCCCCAAAGAAATGCATTAAAGAACAAGTGATTTCACAGTTTTTCTAAGGATATCAAATTGAGACTAAAAAACGTAGCAAAAGTATTGCGAAATTTGATATCCTCAGAAAAACATTGATTTTAGGAAAAAATACAGTTCAATTACTTTAGAGGATCCTCGTGAAAGACGTTGGTTTAGGATGAATGTGTCGATATTCGCGATCTTGAAGAATAATTGGAGTACTAATTCTACGTAATTGATTACGTAAACGTCTTCGATTACATTGAGTTGACCCCTTGCGTCACATATAAGTTGGTTTCACTTTATAAGCTCTTTTCCAAATTTCACAGAGACAAACTGTACTGTGAAATCGATAGAATATCGCCAATGGCATTGACACGTGTGTGATTATTGTCCATGCCCAGAGACCATAAAAATGAAGTTGCACGGGATGTGATTCGGCGCGTGATTTTTCCAATGTATTCACTGCCCACATTGCCAAATTGGTCACCAATAAAAATGTGACAATTTGCCTTGCCGGCTTACGTCTTATATTCTCAGCAGTGGCAACTGATCTTCTCGATGCATCGAGAATAAATATTGTTTGACATGTCGTTTGAAGAACACTCGCCAATGCCGTGACAAGAATGAGAATTGTATCCTTGTCGGGAGTGAAGTGACTGCCAATTATTGTGAATGTTGAATAGATAAACATTCCCGTTTGTGCACCGACAAGGAGAATATTGTCCAATTCGAGATTTCGACCACCGTCGTAACGTAATTTGCGAATTTGACACATTCCAATGAGTGTGGCCAATGTTGAAAGTCCGTAGAGTGTTAATTCGCAGATATTCACTTCCATGACTGCAAAGTTGACATGTTCGGGACGTGAGATCAGAACGAAGAAGAGAATTAGGGAGATTATCGTCATCACGAGAATTAGGATCCCAAAGAATAGTCCTTTGTGAGCTTGAGCACAATCGACGCTGTAGTGATAGGGCGATTTTCTAAATTGGAGAAAGGAGAGAGAAATTTATTTTTTGCTGTCGTTTTTTTTTCGGAGAGAATTTAATAGATGAGGGTTGCCACAGGTCAGGGAAATTACACACAGAGAAAAATTTTATTTAAATTTTTATTATTTTATCTTAGTTAAATAAACGTATATATGTCTCAGAGACAATTAGGCTATTGATTTGATTTACATAAAAATTATATTCGACGTAAATAAAACTTTTATTTGAACCAAATAACATTTTATTATAATAAATTATAATTTATATAATTACATAATATAATTTATATAATTATATAATATAATTTATATAATTATAAATAAAACTTTTATTTGAACCAAATAAATTTTTATTTAAACCAAATAACATTTATTTGAAACAAGTAAACGTCTAGTTGGCTCTGAATCAAATATATATTTTTTCTGGATGCAGGGAATTCAGGGAAAAGTCAGGGAAAGTTAAATTGGTCAGGGAAAAATTAGGGATTTTTATTAAAAGTACTGGAAAAAAAATTAAATTTTTATAATTCATAAGAAAATACTGATTTTTTGTGCCTTTTTTGTTCGACTCATAAACTATGAACTTACCACGAATTCAAATACAAAACATTCTATTTTTACCATTTCTGCCAATAATTTCATTTTAAATAACTTAATTCTTGAAGAACTATGTATCATAATATTATTACTCATAAACTAATTGAGCCTCCCAATTCAAGAACTCGCCCGACGCTCGGATGAACACTCTAACGCCAGTCAAACGTTAAGAAAAGTTACAAAAATTAAAATTTGAAATTTTGATTTTTCAGAAGCACTACCTTGTAGGAAATTGAATAGCGCATCTTTTTTTCCTTTGAATTTTTTTCGTAGGATGAATATTGTCGGAAATAATGACGAAAAATGGTAAAATTTTGTTTTTCAAATTTCATTGCTTTTTAAAACATAAATCATCGTATCTTCGACAATTATTGTCGAATTGACTTCAAATTTGGTATGCAAGTCTATTTGGGTTCTGGGAAAACGATAAAATGATCCGAATGTAAAAATTTCCTAATTGTTCACTAATTTGTTAATGTAAATAAAGGCTTGTCAATTTTAGGTTAACTTACCTTCGTCGACAAAAAGTCTGCGGTGAACTTTCGAATTGAAAAAACTTCCAGTGAGACATTTGTTTATTAGTATATAAGGAAGTTTTTTGGAAAATATTAGATTGATTTAGTAAAAAATGTGGAAAATATTAAGGTTTAAAGACAGCGCGGAGAGCGCGACATCGAGTCGCGGCGTGCAAATATCACTAAACACCAACTTTATAGGACGTCAGTTGTTGAATTTGTTCTTATTACCTCGGTTATTACTCAGTACTTTAAAAAAAGCATTAAATAAATTATTGGGATATAATTATAACGCTATGTTTAACATTATAACAAACATAAAAATTCTATAAATAATAAAGAACTAGCAACAATTCGCGCGGCTAACTTTTTACTACATTTTATAAATAAAATTAGCAATTTTAAAAATAATAGAATTTGAAAACTTTCTAATTTAAATTTTTGTTGAAAACACTAAAAAAATTCAATTTTGGAGAAATTACAAATAATTGCAGAAATTCAACTATTTTCAAAAAAAAAAAAAAAATAATAAAATTCTTCTTATAAAATTCAACTATGTACAAAATTTGAAAAAAAAATTTTGTAAAAATCCCGATTACCTTTATAAATAACAAAATTCTTTTCCAAAGTTTAATTATTTTCCTAAATGTCAGAGAAATTCTTGTCCTAATTTCAATTATTTTCAAAAATTTTTCTAATTTCAATTATTTTCAATATCTACTATTTTTTATAAAATTTCCCAAAAAATTCAATTATTTAAAAAAATTTTTAATAAAATTGCATATAAACATTTGATTATTTTTAGAAATAATACAAATTTCACAGGAATTCAATTATTATTGTTATAAATAATAAATTTTTTTTAAGCAATTCAATTATTTTTATAAAAAACAATTTAAAATTCTAGAAAATAATAAGAATACCTTCAAAGAATTTTTTTATTTAGGAAAATAACGGAATTCTCGCAAAGAATTTTATAAAAATTTTAAAAAATCCTAATTAAATTCTTTTGAAGAATTTCTTTGAATTTTTTTTTAAACTAATGGAGTTTCTTTAATAATTATTATTAATAATTAATTATAATAATTAATATTAATAATTAATTAATAATAATAATAATAATTAATAATAATAATAATAATAATAATAATAATCTATTATTTTTAAAATTGCTAATTTTATTTATAAAATGTAGTAAAAAGTTAGCCGCGCGAATTGTTGCTAGTTCTTTATTATTTATAGAATTTTTATGTTTGTTATAATGTTAAACATAGCGTTATAATTATATCCCAATAATTTATTTAATGCTTTTTTTAAAGTACTGAGTAATAACCGAGGTAATAAGAACAAATTCAACAACTGACGTCCTATAAAGTTGGTGTTTAGTGATATTTGCACGCCGCGACTCGATGTCGCGCTCTCCGCGCTGTCTTTAAACCTTAATATTTTCCACATTTTTTACTAAATCAATCTAATATTTTCCAAAAAACTTCCTTATATACTAATAAACAAATGTCTCACTGGAAGTTTTTTCAATTCGAAAGTTCACCGCAGACTTTTTGTCGACGAAGGTAAGTTAACCTAAAATTGACAAGCCTTTATTTACATTAACAAATTAGTGAACAATTAGGAAATTTTTACATTCTGATCATTTTATCGTTTTCCCAGAACCCAAATAGACTTGCATACCAAATTTGAAGTCAATTCGACAATAATTGTCGAAGATACGATGATTTATGTTTTAAAAAGCAATGAAATTTGAAAAACAAAATTTTACCATTTTTCGTCATTATTTCCGACAATATTCATCCTACGAAAAAAATTCAAAGGAAAAAAGATGCGCTATTCAATTTCCTACAAGGTAGTGCTTCTGAAAAATCAAAATTTCAAATTTTAATTTTTGTAACTTTTCTTAACGTTTGACTGGCGTTAGAGTGTTCATCCGAGCGTCGGGCGAGTTCTTGAATTGGGAGGCTCAATTAATATATAATTTTACTTGAAAATTAAAAAAGGAATTGAATTTTAAAACAGTTGCGATTACAATTTTCCTTAAAAAATGAAATTCAAAAGGTTTTAAATTGAAATTTTAGAAAATTTCAATTTTTGAAGAATTTAATTCAAAATTTCAAAGAACTTAGTTTTTTGAAAAATTTGAATAATTCAAATTCTTCTGAAGTCTCAAATAATTACAGAAATTCAATTATTTTCAAATGTAATAAAATTCTTTGCAACAATTCAATTATGTTCAAAAATTTTTTTAAATTCTAAAAAAAATTTCAATTTTCTTTGTAAATAATAAAATTCTTCTCCAAAATTCAATTATTTTCAAAAATTTTCAAAAAATTCTCTGCAAAATTTCAATTATTTCCTATAAATTTCTTCAATTCCATGATTATCATAATCTACTATTTTAATAAAATTTCACAAAAAAATTCAATTATTTTCATAAATAATAAAAATTTCACAGTAATTCAAATATTTACAAATTTTTTTATAAATTTCTTCGCAATAAATAAAGTTTAAAATTTTTTTTTAAATTCCCTTAAAAATTTCAATTATTTTTAAAAGTAATAAAATTCTTGTCAAATTTCAATTATCTTAATAAATAATAAAATTCTTCTTTAAAATTAAATTATATTAAAAAAATGTTTCAGTTCTGGTCATAATTTTAATTATCTTCATAAGAAACGAAATTAAAAAATTTCAATAAAATGTTTTGAAAATAATTGAAATTATTATCTACTATGTTAATAAAATTTTCCAAAAGAATTAAATTATTTTCAAGAAATTTTGATAAAATTTTATCCACAAATTTAATTACATATTTTCATAAATAATACAAAATTAATAGAAAATTCAATTATTTAAAGAGAAAATTTTATACATTTTTTCGAAAAATCAATTATTCGACAAAATTTTATAAAATTCTTCGCAATAATTCAATTATTTTCATAAGTATTAAAATTCATAATCAGGAATTTAATTTTTTTCAATCAATTATCTTGATAAATAACAAAATTCTTTGCAGAAATTCCATTATTTTTAGGAATTTTAATAAATTTTATTGAAAAATTCAATTATTTTCAAAAATGATAAAATCCTTTACAGAAATTTAATTTTTGAAAACATTCTCTTCATGATTTCAATTATTTTTATAAATAGCAAAATTCAAATATGTAAAAAAATGTAATAAAATTCTACGTAAATATTTAATTATTTTTTTAAATAGTAAACATGTTTTTAGGAATTCAATTATTTTTATAAATAATAAAACTCCACACAGAATTTTAATTATTTTTAATACAATTTGAATTGAATTCCTCGAAAATTGCAATTGTTCTTAAAATTTGTATTAATAGTTGTCAATTTTAAAAAACATTCAATTACTCTATAATCTATTTATTTTTGTATTTGAATAATTGATTTCTCGCAGAATTTTCTAATAAAAGTTGATGTAAAAATTAATTTTAGTTAGGTTTTTAGATAATAATTGAATATTAGAAGAATTATAGGACAAATTTTTAGAAATAATTGAATTTTTGAAAAGGTTTTTAAATGAAAATCTTTGAAAGTTTAAATTTTTCATACTTTTAATTAACAATTTTGTAGAACTATTTTTTTTTAAGAAGTTAAAACATCTATTGATGTTTTCGAATAATTTTATAATTAAAGAAATTCGCAAATAAATGTATTAAAAATAATTTTTTTTTAATATCTAATTTAAAGTGAATCAAAATATTCTTTAGACTCAGAGAAAAAGTCAAAATTTTGTCTGGAAATCAGGGGAAAACAAAATTAAATTTTTGTGACAACCCTGTAAGAATAATTTTTATTTTTTGTACCTGTATGCATGGGTGTGTTGTGTTGATAGAGTCGTGGGACTCGATGGATTTGATGCTTTTGCTATGTTTTTCCACATGACGTACAAAATTGCTGCGCAAATCAAACTGTATTCGATTGTGCAAGGAAAAAGGAAAGGACTCGCGTCTTGTACCAATAGACCCATAATATTGTCCCTTCTGCATTCGAATATATTGTGAGGTCCTTTCAATCCTCTTGTGACTCTCAAACGATCCACGTAATGCCCGTGATTGTGACCCATGTGAAAACTTCCTTTCGCTCCTTTAAATATGTGCAAACAATTAATTTTTATTTTTAACAGGAACTTTATGCTTGAGCATAAAAGCGTAAATTTCAAAAATGTTTTGAGAGTCAAAATCAGCTTGTTGAAAAGCATAAGGTTCTTGTCTTTATAAATAGTAAATTGTTCCTTACCTATTCGATGAGAAATTCTTAGTGAATTATTTTCAGGATTGTAAAAAGTTAGAATCTCGTGTTTCGTTTCTTGCACTAAAACATTGAGCCATACGGAGAGATTCGTTCCGATCATGTGCATCAGTCCAAAACGTGCTATCACTCTATGTCGATAGACTTTCATTTGCTGAAATTTGAAAAAAAATCGGTTATTATTGGAATTATTTTTAGATTATAATCACAGAAAATCAAAAGTGGATTATTTTAATCTTTTTTCGGGTGAAAATTTAAACTGCAAGACTTTTTAATGCTTTTACTGTGGGGTTAATTTTCTTCATGTCAAAAATATGTTTCTAATTCAGAACCAAATTTGTAACCAATTCGATAAAATAATCCTCCAATTATTTTAATCTTTGAATGAATTATTTGAAAATTGAAACCTCAACGGACTATTTGCTGTAATGCTTTAATCTTGTAATGATTATTTTAATCCACTTTTCTGTTAAAATAATATCGAATAATTTTCTATGTGTTTAAATTTAGGAATTTATTATTTATTTCACTAGAACTGAATTGCAATTGATTTTTTATTGGTTAATCTTTCGAGTGTCAGAAAATATTTTGAGATTTTTGTTTTTGTTGAAGGATGTAAAAGGTTGTCAAAATATTGTTTAAAGTGGCATTGGCCATATAGGCAAAAAGCAACCCGGTGGAGTAATTTCTTCCACTACACTGTCAGGATATTCACCCTTCTATTTCATTAATCCCTGTGGTTACTCTTCTGATGTAATAATGCTTCCAGTAACACATTAGGTTCACCACAATATACAGAGCTACCCTCGGATTTTTTTCCACTCAACTCGAGATACAAATTGTTTGATCATGAAAAACCTCGGGGTTTCTCTTGTTTTAATAAAAAAAATAAAATAAAAGAGAGAATGGAGAAAAAACCACCAATTTCCCAATTGAAAATTTTAATATTCAAATTAAGCAAATATTATCTTAGTATTTTCATGTTTTCCTTTATTTTGCGAATTTTCACTAGTTTCCTTTTTTGAAATTGAAAATTTTTTTTACTATTTTGGAATTAACTGATAAAAGCTGTAGATGTAAAAATTTAGAGTTGCAATGAAATAAAAAGTTGTTACTATGAAATTAAAAATTGTAACTAAGAAATTAAAAATGATAACTATTTTGAAAGTAAATGTTGTAACTGTTTTGAAAGTAAAACTTGTAACTGTTTAGAAAGTGGAACTTGTAACTATTTTGAAAGTAGAACTTACTTTGTTGTTTAAAAAGATAAAGTACATTTGGATGAAAATAAAAGCCATTCGACTGGCCGGGGTGACGGCGAGCATAATATTGTGGCATTTTGTGTTGCGTTCGAGTTCGAAATATTGTCCGAATTCAAGACCCGAATAGATCATTGAACCTATTCCAAAAGCCACGGCTCCCATTCGGAGATAAAAACTACCATAATGCTGTGCAGGTCGAGAGGCAATATGAGGGCATGATGTGTCGACCGTGTCACTGTCCACCCCACCACCACTCGACGATCGTGACGAGTCCAAATCCGAAATATCTTTTTGCTTCTCTAAAATAGAAAACATTTTTAAATCTTTAAATCATAATTTTCATTCCGTTCAGTATTCTTTCTAAATTCATCACAGAAAAAATTAAATCTTATTTTGATCATAATACAGGGTTGACACTGATCAGGAAAGTTAGGAAATAGTCAGGGAAAATAGAATTGGTCAGGGAAATCAGGGAAAAGACAGGAATTTTTATTAAAAGTACTGCAAAAAATTAAATTTTTAGAATTCATAAGAAAATTCTGAATTTTCGTGACTTTTTTGTTGGCTTCATAAACTATGCAATTACCACGAATTCTGATACAAAATCTTCAATTTTTTCTATTTCTGACAACAATTTCTATTTTAAAAAATTTTTTTTTTTAAACTTAATTCTTGAACAACTATCATAGAATTATTACTTATAAATTGTTTAATGAATAATTTTACTTAAATATTTCAAAATTAATTGAATTTTAAAAGCTTTTACGATTTTCATAAATAAATAAACTTCAAAAGGTTTTAATTTAGAATTTTATATAATTTCAATTTTGATTGAATTTAATACAGAAATTCAATTTTTTTCAAAAATAATAAAAATTTCACAGTAATTAAATTATTTACAAATTTTTTAATTAATTTCTTTGCAATAAATCAATTAGGTTCGCTAATTTTTTAAAATTCTCTCAAAAATTTCAATTATTTTTAAAAGTAATAAAATTCTTCTCTGAAATTCAATTATTTTCAAACATTTTAATGAAATTCTTGTCAAATTTCAATTATCTTAATAAATAATAAAATTCTTCTCCAAAATTCAATTATTTAAAAAAATTTTTTTAAATTCTGGTCAATATTTTAATTATTTTTATAAGTAACAGAATTAAAAAATTTCAACAAAATTCTTGTCAAAATTTCAAATATTTTAAAAACATTTCTTCAATTCAATGATTTTCAATATCTATTATGTTAATAACATTTTCCAAAAGAATTCAATTATTTTTAAAAAATTTTGATAAAATTCTACCTAAAGATTCAATTACCTATTTTCATAAATAATAAAAAATTAACAGAAAATTCAATTATTTAAAGAAAAATTTTCATACATTTTTTCGAGAAAATCAATTATTGAACAAAATTTTATAAAATTCTTCTCTTCATGATTTCAATTATTTTTATAAATAATAGAATTCTTTTTCGAAATTCAATTCGTGAAAATTTTAATTATTTTTAAAAGTAATATAAAATTTTTTTCAAAAATTCAATTGGTTTCAAATTTTTTTTTAAATTCTTCTAAAAATTTCAATTTAGAATTCTTAAAATTATCTTTACAAATAGAAAAATTCTTCTCAGAAATTCAATTATTTAAAAAATTTTTAATATAGTTCTTGGCAAAATTTTAATTATTTTAAAAAATCTTCTGAATTCAATCATTTTCAATATCTAATATTTTTTAAAAATTTCTTAACGAATTTAATTATAAATAAAAATAAATAAAAATGTCACAGAAAATTCAATTATTTAAAGATGAATTTGGTAACATTTAAAAAAAACAATTATGTTTAGGAATTTTAATAAAATTCTTTGCAAACTTCAATTATTCATAAAATTATTTATTTTTCTATTGAATATTCTATTCTATATATATTCTATTGAATATTAGAAGCATTATAGTATGAATTTTTAGAAATAATTGATTTTTGAAAAGAATTCAAATTAAAATCTTTAAAAATTTGTATTTTTCATACTTTTATCTAACAATTCTGTATAATTAATTTTTTTGAAAAAGTTTAATTGAAGTTTCTTTTAAATTATTTTAAGTTTTTATTTTCTAATATATTTAATTGAAGAATTTGCGAATAATCGAAATCTCGAAAAATTGAATGGTAAAGAAATGTATTTGAAAATTTTTAATAAGAAGTTTTTCAAAAATTATTAAAAATAAATAAAATAATTGATTTAAAGACATCGATCACTTCGAATCGAAGACTCAAAGTTATAGATTTTTTCATGTTTTATACGAATATTTTTATAATAATATTTTTATTTGAAAATTTGAATTCTCATCGAAAAATGATAATTATTAAATATTTATTTAAAACTGAAGTTGTTGATGTTTTCGAATAATTTTACAATTAAAGAAATTCGAAAATAAATAGTTGTATTTTTTTTTAGTATTTAATTGTTTTTACAGTGAATCAAAATATTTTTTTGTGTCAGGGAAAAAGTGAAAATTTTGTCTGTAAATCAGGGAACAAAATTAAATTTTTGTGGCAACCCTGTAATACTGAAATTAATGAATGTTTTAAAGTATTTTTTAAAATAAAATTTCTTTTTACAGTGATACATACTTTTCTTGAAATTGAAATTTTCCTTTAGAAGTACATTTTACTTACTTTGCTTGGGTCTTCCATCTTTGTGCATCATAATGCACATGTAAAAAAGGAAGAGCATACTTCCGATGTAGAGGTAGAGGTAGAAAGATTCGTAGAACGATGGAGGAATGTAGGTGGAAATTACTTCCGACATGGGAAAGGCAATGCCCATTACAACCAGTAGTTTTCCATAGAGAGCACTAAGGGTCGTTGCTAATGCGTAGCTACAAGAAATTTTTCAAAAAAAAAAAGAAAAGAAATGGAAAGTATTATTCATTAATTTAGAATTTAGAAAAAGAAAAATTGATTTAACCAATCCATTCGTGTAAAATGTTAGATTATACATTATTTGACAGATTGATTTATGGATAGAAAATTAGTGACCGCAGAGGAATCATGTAGTCTATCATTATCCAATTAGAACATTCTCCCGTGAAATATTAAATTTGAACGGTGTCTATCGCAAATATATGTATATACACATGATAAGAATTGGCTCAATTACATTCAATCGTGTTTGTCGACTATACTGTGTGTTTAATCTGTCAAAGTGGCTTCGTAATTGTAACGGATGACCGACGGGACAAAGTCGAGGAACACGTGAAATTTACATGATGCTTAATTGAACTTTTCACACTATCCCTCGATAAAAAGGGGTTTTCTCTCTTTATTTTCTTTCAATTATGGATAATCTCTATTTATAACGGTTCACTGAATTTTTTGTCCAAACTGTTGTTCTCTTATAAAGAAAATTTTATATTCTTTTTTTAAGTTTCATATATTTGCGATGTAGTTTTGATAGATTAAAAAGTTAAAAATCACACGTGTGTTGTTTATGATTCTACAAGTTTTTTTCTCTCTAATTCTGAATTATAGTGAAATTTTACTTCCTATAGAGATAAGCATACCACTAAATTCAAAAAGTTTATTTTTTTTAATTATTGGTATCAATGATTTTTTCTTTTAATAAATTAGGTAAAATAGGGGATTTTTATTTTCAAACAGGAGATTCAGTTTAAAAAGAGGGGAATTTTTAAATTAATTTTGTTATTGGGGGCCGTACACATAATACGTCACGAGATTTTTGACCATTTTTAACCCTCCCTCCCCCTATGTAACACTTCGTCACAAATCTTGAACCCCCCCTTCCCCCTACGTCACGTCACACACGTAAATTTCACTGTAAATTTTATACATTGGACAATATATATTATATCTTACACTCTAAATTATTGAGTCAGTTAATAATACCTGATTTAGAAGCAAAAACTGATGTTTCAATACAATTGTTTTTGATTGATTCAATTAGTCACGTTTAACTAAATACATAGCACCGAAACTTTCCTAAAAATTTACTAAAGATTTACTCGCAAGCTTCGAAATATTTAAATGCAAAGCTAAGTAAAAATTGTGTAAAGATTTAAATATCCCACTTCAATTCAAATGTTCAGGAAATTTACTATTAAATAAGTGAAGAATTTTTTAAAAGCACAAAAATAATTAAGCTAAATTCCATAAAAGAAAGGAAAAAATGTTGAATTTTAAGAAATTTGAATTTTTGAAGTTTTGATAATTTTCGATAATTTTTGATTTTTTACCAAAAAGTCGAGACTGTTAAATAAGTAAAGTATTTTCCAAAAGCACAAAAATAATGAAGCTAAATCCCATAAAAAAAAGAAAAAAATATTGAATTTTAAGAAATTTGGATTTTTGAATTTTTGATAATTTTCGATAATTTTTTATTTTTCACCAAAGAGTCGAGACTGTTAAATAAGTAAAATATTTTCCAAAAGCACAAAAATAATAAAGCTAAATCCCATAAAAGATAGGAAAAAATATTGAATTTTAAGAAATTTGGATTTTTGAATTTTTGGTAATTTTCGATAATTTTTGATTTTTCACCAAAGAGTCGAGACTATTAAATAAGTAAAGTATTTTCCAAAAGCACAAAAATAATGAAGCTAAATCCCATAAAAAAGAGGAAAAAATGTTGAATTTTAAGAAATTTGGATTTTTGAATTTTTGATAATTTTCGATAATTTTTGATTTTTCACCAAAGAGTCGAGACTATTAAATAAGTAAAATATTTTCCAAAAGCACAAAAATAATGAAGCTAAATCTCATAAAAAAGAGGAATAAATGTTGAATTTTAAGAAATTCGGATTTTTGAATTTTTGATAATTTTCGATAATTTTTGAGTTTTCACCAAAGAGTCGAGACTATTAAATAAGTAAAATATTTTCCAAAAGCACAAAAATAATGAAGCTAAATCCCATAAAAGAGAGGGAAAAATATTGAATTTTAAGAAATTCGGATTTTTGAATTTTTGATAGTTTTCGATAATTTTTGATTTTTCACCAAAGAATCGAGACTATTACATAAGTAAAGTATTTTCCAAAAGCACAAAAATAATGAAGCTAAATCCCATAAAAGAGAGGGAAAAATATTGAATTTTAAGAAATTCGGATTTTTGAATTTTGATAATTTCGATAATTTTTGATTTTTCACCAAAGAGTCGAGACTATTAAATAAGTAAAATATTTTCCAAAAGCACAAAAATAATGAAGCTAAATCCCATAAAAAAGGGGAAAAAATGTTGAATTTTAAGAAATTTGGATTTTTGAATTTTTGATAATTTTCGATAATTTTTGATTTTTCACCAAAGAGTCGAGACTATTAAATAAGTAAAGTATTTTTTAAAAGCACAAAAATAATGAAGCTAAATCCCATAAAAAAGGGGAAAAAATGTTGAATTTTAAGAAATTCGGATTTTTGAATTTTTGATAATTTTCGATAATTTTTGAGTTTTCACCAAAGAGTCGAGACTATTAAATAAGTAAAATATTTTCCAAAAGCACAAAAATAATGAAGCTAAATCCCATAAAAGAGAGGAAAAAATATTGAATTTTAAGAAATTTGGATTTTTGAATTTTTGATAATTTTCGATAATTTTTGAGTTTTCACCAAAGAGTCGAGACTATTAAATAAGTAAAGTATTTTCCAAAAGCACAAAAATAATGAAGCTAAATCCCATAAAAAAGGGGAAAAAATGTTGAATTTTAAGAAATTCGGATTTTTGAATTTTTGATAATTTTCGATAATTTTTGATTTTTCACCAAAGAGTCGAGACTATTAAATAAGTAAAATATTTTCCAAAAGCACAAAAATAATGAAGCTAAATCCCATAAAAGAGAGGGAAAAATATTGAATTTTAAGAAATTCGGATTTTTGAATTTTTGATAGTTTTCGATAATTTTTGATTTTTCACCAAAGAATCGAGACTATTACATAAGTAAAGTATTTTCCAAAAGCACAAAAATAATGAAGCTAAATCCCATAAAAGAGAGGGAAAAATATTGAATTTTAAGAAATTCGGATTTTTGAATTTTGATAATTTCGATAATTTTTGATTTTTCACCAAAGAGTCGAGACTATTAAATAAGTAAAATATTTTCCAAAAGCACAAAAATAATGAAGCTAAATCCCATAAAAAAGGGGAAAAAATGTTGAATTTTAAGAAATTTGGATTTTTGAATTTTTGATAATTTTCGATAATTTTTGATTTTTCACCAAAGAGTCGAGACTATTAAATAAGTAAAGTATTTTTTAAAAGCACAAAAATAATGAAGCTAAATCCCATAAAAAAGGGGAAAAAATGTTGAATTTTAAGAAATTCGGATTTTTGAATTTTTGATAATTTTCGATAATTTTTGAGTTTTCACCAAAGAGTCGAGACTATTAAATAAGTAAAATATTTTCCAAAAGCACAAAAATAATGAAGCTAAATCCCATAAAAGAGAGGAAAAAATATTGAATTTTAAGAAATTTGGATTTTTGAATTTTTGATAATTTTCGATAATTTTTGAGTTTTCACCAAAGAGTCGAGACTATTAAATAAGTAAAGTATTTTCCAAAAGCACAAAAATAATGAAGCTAAATCCCATAAAAAAGGGGAAAAAATGTTGAATTTTAAGAAATTCGGATTTTTGAATTTTTGATAATTTTCGATAATTTTTGATTTTTCACCAAAGAGTCGAGACTATTAAATAAGTAAAATATTTTCCAAAAGCACAAAAATAATGAAGCTAAATCCCATAAAAAAAAGAAAAAAATATTAAATTTTAAGAAATTTGGATTTTTGAATTTTTGATAATTTTCGATAATTTTTTATTTTTCACCAAAGAGTCGAGACTGTTAAATAAGTAAAATATTTTCCAAAAGCACAAAAATAATGAAGCTAAATCCCATAAAAAAAGAAAAAAATATTGAATTTTAAGAAATTTGGATTTTTGAATTTTTTATAATTTTCGATAATTTTTGATTTTTCATCAAAGAGTCGAGACTGTTAAATAAGTAAAGTATTTTCCAAAAGCACAAAAATAATGAAGCTAAATCCCATAAAAAAGAGGAAAAAATGTTGAATTTTAAGAAATTTGGATTTTTGAATTTTTGATAATTTTCGATAATTTTTTATTTTTCACCAAAGAGTCGAGACTATTAAATAAGTAAAATATTTTCCAAAAGCACAAAAATAATGAAGCTAAATCCCATAAAAAAGAGGAAAAAATGTTGAATTTTAAGAAATTCGGATTTTTGAATTTTTGATAATTTTCGATAATTTTTGAGTTTTCACCAAAGAGTCGAGACTATTAAATAAGTAAAATATTTTCCAAAAGCACAAAAATAATGAAGCTAAATCCTATAAAAGAGAGGGAAAAATATTGAATTTTAAGAAATTTGGATTTTTGAATTTTTGATAATTTTCGATAATTTTTTATTTTTCACCAAAGAGTCGAGACTGTTAAATAAGTAAAATATTTTCCAAAAGCACAAAAATAATGAAGCTAAATCCCATAAAAAAAAGAAAAAAATATTGAATTTTAAGAAATTTGGATTTTTGAATTTTTGATAATTTTCGATAATTTTTGATTTTTCACCAAAGAGTCGAGACTATTAAATAAGTAAAATATTTTCCAAAAGCACAAAAATAATGAAGCTAAATCCCATAAAAAAGAGGAAAAAATGTTGAATTTTAAGAAATTCGGATTTTTGAATTTTTGATAATTTTCGATAATTTTTGAGTTTTCACCAAAGAGTCGAGACTATTAAATAAGTAAAATATTTTCCAAAAGCACAAAAATAATGAAGCTAAATCCCATAAAAGAGTGGGAAAAATATTGAATTTTAAGAAATTCGGATTTTTGAATTTTTGATAATTTTCGATAATTTTTTATTTTTCACCAAAGAGTCGAGACTATTAAATAAGTAAAATATTTTCCAAAAGCACAAAAATAATGAAGCTAAATCCCATAAAAAATGGAAAAAAATGTTGAATTTTAAGAAATTTAGATTTTTGAATTTTTGATAATTTTCGATAATTTTAGATTTTTATCATATTTTATCATATTATAAATAATATACCAATAGATCTTAAATAGATACATAATAGATATTAAATAGTTTTAAGCATTTTCAACTTGTTTTATTTCGAAAAAGTGACATTGTCACATATTATTTCTTATAATCTTTGAATTTAAAAGATTTTGACGTAACACATGAGTTCACCTCCCCCCCTCCTCCATGTCACACTTAGTCAAAATTCTCAGACCCGCTCTTTCCCCCTAGCTGCGTGACGTATTATGTGTACGGCCCCTAAGATTATTTTAAAAAATTTTTTTTGTTTATTGTTGATATTTTTTTATCTTTTTCCGCAGTCCGTAAATTTCTTTATATTTTTAATCAAACTTTTTATTACAACTCTATTTCTGTTGTGAAGTAAATTACAGTAAGAAATTAGTAAGATTTACTTTAGACTTGGTACAATTTCCTTCAAAAATATTAAAATTTATTATTAAAAATTATTTTTAGAATAACTTTGACTATTTTTAAAGACGATTTTTAGTAAAAATTAGAAAAATCTACTTCGGAAATGGTTAAAATTTACTTTGTAATTAAAAATGTTTGATAGTTAATTGTGCTATGTTGGAGGAAAATTTGAATAATTTTTATACAAAGATTTAAATTGTTTGTTTGTTTTGTTTTATTAGAAGAGGATTTTTTCTCTAAATATATGAGATTACTTTTTTTATCTGGATGTCAATTTGTGAATTAAAAATGTTTGGAATTTGGAATATATTAGTGAACATACCATCCCAGATTTTTGTAATTCCGATCATCTGTGACGTCGATATATGTGGGTGCCAGTGGGTAGCAAACGGTAGATATCGGTTGAGTTGAACATGGTAAAGCCAAAGGGTATTGGGGTAGGCGATTAGTTCTCGAAGGTGAACTGCTGCTGTGAGTAGATAAGGTTTCTGGCGAGACAATAACTGCAGATGGAGATGCTGGAGATGGCAGTGTAGCCGGTATTCCCGGCCAACTAAATAAGAACAGATAATGTTTTTTTTTAATTTCTGTTAAAAACTTGCCTTTTGTTTTTGAAATATCTTTACCAATTTTTGATTTCAACACTCTTAATTAGCAAAATTTCAAAAAAATTCCATAATTAAAAAAAATTGAATAAAAGTCTACGCAAACCTTCAATTATTTTCATAAATAATAAAAAATTTTACAGCAATTCAATTATTTACAAATTTTTATAAATTTCTTTGCAATAATTCAATTATTTTCATAAATAATAAAATTTGTACTCAAATATTTTCGTAAATAATTAAATTCTTTTTAGGAATTTAATTATTTTCGTAAGTTATAAAATTCTTTTTAGGAATTCAATTATTTTCATAAATAATAAAATTTGTACTCAAATATTTTCGTAAATAATTAAATTCTTTTTAGGAATTTAATTATTTTCGTAAGTTATAAAATTCTTTTTAGGAATTCAATTATTTTCATAAATAATAAAATTTGTATTCAATTATTTTCGTAAATAATAAAATTATTTTTAGGAATTCAATTGTTTTCATAGATAATAAAACTCATTGCAGAATTTCAATTATTTTTAAAGCAATTTTAATCGAATTCCTTCAAAAATGTAATTATTCTTAAAAATTTGATTAAAATTCGTCGAAAGAATTCAATTATTTAAAAATTTATTGAAAAAATTCTTTATGAGAATTTAATTTTAAGAAACATTAAATTAATAAATTATTCATTTATTTTTGTATTTAAATAATTGAATTCTCTTAGAATTTACTAATAAAAATTGTTTTAAAAATGAATTTCAGTTAAAATTTTAGATTATAATTAAATATTAAAATCATTATAACGTAAATTTTTAGAAATAATTGAATTTTGAAAAGGTTTCAAAATGAAATCTTTGAAGATCTAAATTTTTTTATGTTTTTAACTAACAATTCTGTAGAATTCATTTTTTTGAAAAAGTTTAATTGAATTTTTATTGAAATTATTTAAAGTTTTTATTTTCTAATATATATTTAATTGGAGAATTTACGAATAATTGAAATTTTCACTGATTCGAGCCCTGATTTAAGATAGTTATCTTATAATTAATTTGTTATTAACTTATAATTAATTATAAATTTATAATTTGTTAAAGTTAATTTATAATTAATTTGCTGTAACTTAAAATATGTATACCGTTTATTAAATAATCGTTTCGAGTATGGAAGAATTGATGAATATTAATAGTATTATTATAATAATAATATTATTCAATATTATTATATATTATTAAAATTTTCATAAATTATAATTTATTCTGTTTGTTTCGTGTTTTTATTTACGTAAACATTTTCGAATAGTTGTCGACAATAGAAACTGTAGTTTGATTGTTTGAGAATATTAAGTGAATGCATTTTGGTTGAAGAGCTTTCAATCTGCATTTAAAATCGATTACTTCCATATATTCAAGAGTGCCTGTTCACCTCATTTAAGGTCAAGCTGTCGTTCAAATATTGACATGCCTCTTTTGACACTGGTTGCAGGAAGTGGCACATTTTTTCTGACAAGTTTATTAAATAATGTCGCATTATTATGTGTAAGGAGAAAAACATTTTCAATTTTCTTCTGTTTTTGTTTTTAATAATTAATATTAACGTTTTAATACACTTATAATAGCCTGTAATACCATATTACTTTTGTTTTTCATACAATTTTTTATAATTTTTTCTATTATTTATAAATTATGACGAAAAATTCATAAATTTTCTATTATTTAAAATTATTCTTATTTTTTTCTGCATATTTTGAATTTTATATTTGTAAAATATTTTTATTATTATTATTAGTATTATTAGTATTATTGTTATTATTTTTATATTATTATTATGAAAATTCACTTTTTGAGTAACTTTGTGGCTAATGGAATATTTTGCAATAATAGTTAATTTCCAATTAAAATTAAGTTCGACATTATTAAATTAATAATGAACATTGTTAACTTGAAAGTATATCGAATTACAGCGAATTACGATTAAATCGTAATTTTTATCTAAATTTTGGCATCAATTTGAACCATTTTGGTATCAATTTGTTGGAATTTGATATTTTCGGTAAACCACTGATGTCTTTAATTATTAATTAATTTTAATTGTTTTCTCTTATTTTACATAAATATTTCGAGCCATCTATATTTCGATTAATATTGAAAATTTTACTGTCTGCGGTATTGTTTTGTGAGACAATAATTATGGTATTCGATTTCGCATTGCGGTTTCTAATCCAAATTGCATTGTTTTGCTGATAAGACGACTGAATTATACAAGGACAATTGAAGTACTTTAAAATTAATATTCTATTCTAATTTATTAATATAGTATCATGCAATTTAATAAAATAATATTAATAATATATATTAGTAATATATTTTAATAATTAATATTAATAATAACATAATATTTATTTATTTTTTTTATTTTATATACATTTCTGCAGTCCAATAAAGAAGCTTATTAATTATTAATATAATAGGTATAATAATTAATAATTAATAATAATCAATTATTAAAGAATATTAATATTCTACTCTTTAAATTCGAATTCATGAAAATATTAACTAATTTAAAATTTTTAATTAATGACTGACTTTCTGCTTTTGAATTAGTAAAATTTACTAATTAATTAAAAATTAGGAAATTACTAATTCACTAATTTAATAGTAAATTTTATTAGTTCAAAAGCAAAAAGTAAGTCACTAATTAAAATTAGTAAAAAAAATTTAATTATTCAAGTTTAGAGAGTAATTTCATTTTTACTTACATGATTAAGAAAAATCAAAGAAACGAATTCAACTGCATTATTGTATTAAATTGGCAACAATTTTTGGTATATTTTTTTTTAAATTTTTCTTTATCGTTTTTATTGTGTGGCAAAACAAAAATGAATCAAAGCGAAGAATTTGAGAGAGAAAATATTTCATTTGATTGAAAACAGAAATTAATTTACAAAAATTGTAATCGGAATACAGAATTTTTTGTTGAAAATCGATGAAGTGATCGCTCTTTGAAGTCGAGAAAAAATAAAGTAGAAGAAAAAAATTTGAAATATCAGAAAAAAGTGCATGGCATTTGATTGAAAATATGTACAACTCTCTAAATCTGAATTAGTTGAAAATAACTAATTATTAGTAAAATCGTGGCTTTAAAAAAACGTAACTAATTATTAGTAGATAATGACTACTCTCTAAATCTGAATATGTGAAATTTCACTTATTGTACGTTATAAGTCGTCTTCTCGATCAATAAGTGCATATACACTTATAAATAAGTGAATTTTTCACTTATTCTGAGTGAAATTTCACTTATTATAAGTGTATATGCACTTATTGATCGAGAAGACGACTTATAACGTTCAAATATGTGAATTTTCACATATTCAGATTTAGAGAGTAATTATTAGTAAATAAATAACTACAAAAATAGTCAAATTTCGCGATTGAATTAGTTACAAAAAATTTGAGTTATTTTTACTTAACATAAAAGTGAATTTAACTAATAATTAGTTATTATTAACTATTTAATTAGTCAAATATTGCTATTTGAACCAGTGACTGACTTTTTCATATCAAATTTTAAATTCGATTTTAAATTTCCTAATAGTTGAATAAAGAAATTATTTTTGAAAATTTTAATAAAACTCTTCTTACAAAGAATTAGAAAATTTTCTATAAAATTTTTTGACACATTTAAATTATTTCAAACATTATTCGAAAGTATTTTGCGAGAATTCAGTTATTTTCACAAATAATAAAATTCAAATATTTGTAATATCTATTATTTTATTCATATTTATTTAGATAAACGAAATTTTTATATTTTAATACAATTTCTCAAAAGAATTCAATTATTATTGAAAATTTTAAGAAAATTCAAAGCGAAAATTGAAATAATATGAATAATAAAACTTTCACTGTACTTCACTTATTTGAAATAAATTTAAGGAATTTTTTTTCTTGAAAGAAATCAAGTATTTAAATATTTTAATAAAATTCTTCGTAAAAAATTAATTATATTCTAAATTTTTGACATTTGTTTATAATAGTTAAATTATTATTTTCGTAAATAATAAAATTCATCCGAAAAATTCAATTATTTTTAACCCAATTTTAATTAAATTATTCGAAATATTTGAATTATTCTTTTTAATTTTTAAAAAATGAAAAAAGGAATTCAATTATTTTTACAAATTATAAAATTTTTCCCAGTAATTTTAATTATTTAAGGGGAGGGTACACACCCTATATTTTTAACTATATTAAAGAAATAATTTAAATATTTAACAAAATTATTTTTGAAGTAATTTTCCGTGAGGAATTCAAAATGGTCATAAAATACAATAGGGCAGAAAATATTTTGCCCTTTTTGAATTTTCATTTTTCTTAAAAATTGGTGAATTTTGAAATCCATAGGTAATTTTGTAGAAAATATGTTTTTGCATCAACAAAAGAATTTCCAAATAAAAAAAATTGATTTTCATAATTTTTATAGCATTTTTTTGAAAAAAAATCTGTTTTTAGGCTAAAAATGCTAAAAAATACAATTATTTTTCATTTTTTTTTAAAAGAAAATCCATTCGTTTATTTTTCGAACTAATTTCAGATAATAATTTTTATATATCAAAAATAAAAATACAAAAAAAATTGGGATAAAATTGTGATCTGAAATTAGTAAGAAAAATAAAAATTCAAATAGTGTCAAAATATTTTCTGACCGATTTTATTTTATGACCATTGAATTCCTTACAAAAAAAAATACTATTAAAATAATTTTGTTGAATATTTAAATTATTTCTTTAATATAGTTAAAAATATAGGTGTACCCTCCCCTTATGAAAATTTAATAAAATTCGTTACAAGAATTCAATTATTTTCATAAATATAATACAATTCGTTGCAGAAATTTATTTATTGTTATATAAATAAATAAAAATAGCAGCTACTTTTTCAAACAAATTATTAAGTGC